AAAATGTGAAATGTATGCTGCATTGCCTGGTGGTCAGCCTGCCGGAATCCTGACGTTCGTTTCGCGTCTCCTGAAGACACTACCAGTTCAACAGTTCTCTGACAAAAGCACCTGGCCAAGTTTCAGCCATTTTAAAATTTTACGGGTGTTTGTTGAGCATCGGCACCTTGTCTCGAATGCTGCCACTGGCAAGACGAGGTACCGTATCTCGTCTGTGAAATTTTGAAATAGTACATCAGAAATCTTTGAAATGCCGGAAAAGATTGGAAACATGCAATGCGCTGAATTCATGAATGCGGTAAAATGCGGTGCTCGTTTCAGGATATTCAAAGGATTCTATTTCAGAACGTCATTTTTCGTTATTGCGTGAAAGAAAATGGGAATCTTTTAATTCATACAAAAGCAGTGTTCTAACAGTAGAAAAAAGCGGTAGGGACAATGAAAGGAAATATTATTACAAAAGATACTTTACCCCTTGGAGAATTTTCCCGAAGTTTCTCTTCTTGTTGATTTATTTTGCTTTTTTTTTTCTTTTAAATCCACGCATCATAATTTCTGCTGGGGAATTAGATAAGGAAAACTTGGATGTCTTTCATTAGTTCACGGCTTAATTATGATAACTGATCGAGTAAATTACGGTAATAAATAAATGATTGTGATAAATGCATTAAGAAATAAAATAAACAGCAACGCGCACCAGACTAGCCGGTGCGATCATGTGTTTTGTGCAATTCAACCCATCGGACGATTGCCCACTAATGATTTTCACTGTTCTGTACTTTAGTCTATGCAAAAATAATCCAAACATTGGAAAACAGTTAAAAATTTCACGCACCAGCGCATGAAAGTTGAATTCGAAATCTTGAAGGGTAAATAGTTTACCCGCTAAAATTTTCACGAGGCCGTAGGTGATACTCAAGAGCGCAGGAACGTTGAATTTGAATAGGCAAAATTGAGCGTGGGCAGGGGGTTATTACCTTAAAATTTCAGCCTCCTAGACTCCGTGGTTCCTGAGATATTAATTTACCCGTAAAAAACTTTCACGGGGCCATACGTGTTACCCGCGAGCACGGGGAAGCTGAATTTAAATTTGCGGGGTCACACGTGGGTGGGGAACGTCCCCCTAAATTTTCAG